GTAGAGGAATATGTCTTACTTTTAATGATTAAATAGAAAAATATAATAATAATAGTAATAATAATGATAATTATAAATATCTTAATCATTTATCTTAATTGTAAAATCTTAGAATCGTTTCTTTTACCATTTAAAAAGCTAATTAGTAAATATTTGATTCTGCATTGAGTTTTATTTAGCATTCCATATCTATATAAAGCTTTAAATTTGTAAGTAATGCTTGTAAACATAATTAACAGGAAAATATTAATATTAATAATTTGTATTAAATTATTGATAATAAAAGTAGTTTAAATGATTTCAAGTTTAAATATAGTCATTTATTTTATTTTACAGGAAATAGAAATAATTAATAATAACTATAGTTAAATATTAAATTAAAAATAAGGATAGAATAATATTTATTAAATTAATTAATTTAATTCTAATTTAATTCTACTTATAAAATTAAATTCTCTATTAATAAAATTTATGAATTTAATTAACTATCTTTACTATTAAATTCTATTGGTAGTTGCTTAAATACAAAAATTATTTTAATTAAAATCGAAAACTTATCTCCTGAGTTATAAAATAGTGTTTAATTTGAGAATAGAAAAAAGAAAAATTACTCATTTTTCGAATAATTAAAATAATTAAGATATTTGGAAAATTTATCTTTGGAAATGTTTTATAATTAATAGATTTTAGATAGCTTATCTGATTTTATTAGAAATAATTAAAGTTTGAAAAATTTATAAATTGTTAAACTTGTTTAATTCAATTAATATAATTTGGATATTAAATAATTATGTGAAGCTATTTAAAATCATAAAAATATTATCTAAGTTATTTTTAGTTTTAAGAATGAACAAAACGAAATTGTTTAAAAGGAATATGAGAGTATTTGGCAAAATGAAAAAATTTAAAAATTTTATGCTCCGATTGCTAATTGCATCTAAAATTGTTAAAATGCATTAAATGTTGTAGAGGTTTTTGAAGATAAGATTAATGAAGAAGGAATTTTGTTAATCCTAAAATAAGTTGAAAATAATGATAAAACTATGTATTTGAAATTCAAATCTTGTATGGATAAATAAGTGAATTAATGTTCAGAGCAATTTTAATAATAATACTATTAATGTTGTTTGAAAGGAAAATTATTAAGACTTACTTTTATATGCCTAATTGTGTTGACTCAATATATAAAAATTGATTTTAAAAATTATGCTTAAAAGCAAAAAAAAGAGAAATTATTAAATTTTTATTTTATTTTATTTTATTTAATTTTAGAAAATCTATTCAATTGTAATATTTTTTTATTTTTTTTTTAATTTATTATAAGAATCATTTTTTTATTTCATTTTTTTATTTTATTATCAAATATATATCCTATAAAATAAAAACTATAAGTTTTATACTATTTTAAATATTTATTTTTTTAAAATAAACTTATATATTTAATTATTTATATTAGATATTTATAAAGTAATAATAAATAAATAATTTATAAATGAATTTTTGATAATTATTTAATAAAAATTAAAAATAAAATAACATATATTTTAATTATTTTAATAAATTTATATAAAAATGTGTTTAATTATGAATATATTAAAATATATATTTTTACGTTCATATATAGTTTGAATAATTATATATTATGTTATTTAATCAATTAGATCTTCTATTTATATTAATCATATTTATACAATTTTAATGTTTTGATAGTATTTTTTTTAAATTAATATTTTGAAAATTATAGGCATAATTTTAAAAAATTTAAATTAATGTTTTAATACAATAAAAATATTTTATTTAATGAAAATAACAAAAAATATATAAATTAACAAAAAAATTATTCAATTTTTTTATAAAAACATTTTTATTTATTTATAATATAGAAATTGTTTATATTAAATATATGTATGTAATTAAAATAAAATATAAAAAAAAAATATATATAAGATAATTTTATTAATATATATTATTTTAAAAATAATAATTTTTTATTTTGAAAAAAAATAAAAATAAAAAATAGAAAAATATTATTATTATAATAGTATTTAATATTATTATAATATTTTTTATATTTATATTAAATAAAAAGTTAAAAAAAATAAAATTATACATTGAAATATAATTTAATAAAGATATGTAATGAAAAAAAATGATTTTTTTTATAAAATTTATAATATAATAAAAATAAATAAGATATTTAACATATTTTTTATATAAATATAAATATAAATATAAATATATATAAATATATATTTATATATATAATTATATATATATATTCATATTTTTATATATAAATATTTTTTAATTAATTTTATTATTTATATATTATAATTTTTTTCCATTTATTTTTTATTTAAAAAATATTTTTTTAGAATAATATAATAATTTAATATTTTCATAAATATTAATAAATTATTAACCATATTAATTTTTTTCATTATATAAAACAATTATTTATTAAATATATATATATATATTATTAAATATTAATGTTTAAATGCAACAATAAAATTTGCATATATTCTAATGAATAATAAGCATTATAAAACAATAATTTGATATTTATTCCATGTAATCAATGTCATGAAGTATTTTTTTGTTCTAAATCATGTAAAGATATAGATAAGTATTTTTAAAATAATAATTTTTTTATTTTTTTTTTTAATTTAAAACAATAAATATTTTAAAAAAAAGCCACTCATAAAATTGCAGTTAATAATATTCTTAATTATAAAAAATAGATTTAGATATATCTTAATAAAATAATTAATCAATTATATCAAATCTAGATTAATCATCTTTAAATTCTTCTAATATTTCTAAAAAAAGCAAATTATGTCTAGATGATTACGAGTTTATAAATAAACCAAAAAAAGAGACAAGTGAATTAGGAAAAGGAGCTTTTGGTTAAGTAAAATTGGCAAAAGAAAAAAAAACAGGTCGTATAGTTGCAATTAAGGAAGTAATTATTTATCTTAAAAATATAAAAATAGCAAATAACAAAAAAAGATAAATAAAAAAATTCTTTTATAAAATTCTACAGTTGATCATTTAAGAAGAGAAATAAAACTATAAAAAAAATTAAATCATCCACATATATTGAGACTTTTTGATAAATTTGAAGATACTCAAAATGTGTATTTGACATTAGAATTTGCAGAAAACGGTTCTTTGTTTGATTATTTAAAAAGGAAAAAAAAAATAAGCGAAAAAGAGTCTTTTATTTATTTTTTTTAAACATGTTTAGCTTTAGATTATTTACATAAAAAAGATATAATACATAGGGATATTAAACCTGAAAATCTCCTGTTGGATAATAAAGGGAATATTAAATTATGTGATTTTGGATGGAGTGCAGAAATCAATAATATTCTTTCAAAAAGAGAAACTTTTTGTGGAACTCTTCATTATATGTCTCCGGAAATTTTAAAAAGTTAAAAACATGATAAAAAAGCAGATATATGGTCTTTAGGGATACTTTTATATGAATTAACGCATGGCTTTCCGCCTTTCAATAGAAAAGGAATGTCTTCTAAAGAAAAAAGCTAGAAGAAATTAGTCTAGCGTAGTCGAATGGTATTTAATTTAATGATTAAGATACTTTTAATTTAAAAAATATAATTTCTATAATACTTAATATAAATCCGGAAGAAAGACCAGACTTTAAAGAGATTTTCAATCATTTATGGGTTTAAGAAAATAGCAAACATTTTAATATAGAACCTTTATAATGTCTTTATAAAAAAAATACTAATCTTTATTTAGATTAATAATAAACATCTCCAACATTTAAACAAAGATCTTTATCTTCTATAAATAATTAAATATAATCTGCTTTGAATATAAACTAAAATGATTAAAATAATAATAATAATAATAAAAATAATAATAATAATAATAATAATAAAAATAATTATAATAATAATTAGCCCTTAAAATGATGATTAAAAAAAAGAAAAAAATTCTAAAAAACCTTCGTTTTCTAGTCTTATCTAAAATAATATTGTTGAATAGATAAATTTTTCTTCTTAAAAGAGCTTAACACCTAAAAGATAGAATAAAAATTAGATTAAAATAATAATAAATCATGTTCATATTTATTTCAAGAATAAACAAAGGAAAAAATGAAAAAATTATTGATAATAAATAATATAATAGTTATAATGTTAGTGAAATCACTACACCTAAAAATAGTAAATATTAAGATATGGTAAATAAATATACAAAAAATAATACTAATAATACATAATAAAATTCTACTTAAGAAAATAGAAGTTCTAAAAAACCTTCTTTTACTAATTCAGGAACACCTCCATTACGAAATTAATAAATAAATAGAGGTAATTAATAACAATAAGATATTTAATAATAATAAATATAATAATAATAATAATAATAATAATAATATATAATAATAATAATAATAATATTATAATAATAATAAAATATAATTAATAATAATTCAAATATTTAAAGTAGAGATAATTCTAAATCACCTTAAAGGTAGAAAATATTTTAATATTCACCTCTTAAAAGTGCTTTACGAACTATTAGTCCTCAAAATAATAATAATTAAGTTTAAAATAGTAAACAATAACTAAATGTAGTATTTAATAATAAGGCTATTACGCATAAAAATATTTAAGAACCTAATATTATGAATTTGAGTATTAGTACTATTTAAAATGACTAGTCTATGATTTCATAATCAATTGCTTTTTAATAAAGTATTAATAATTTAAATCCTCAGATTAATACATAATAAGATTTATAATACTTAAATAAAAAAGTATTATTAATTATATTTTATATTATTATTATTTTATTTTTTTAAAAAAATATAAATAAATAGGATATGAAAAATACTTTAATATAAGAAAATTAGGAAAAAATAATAAAATAATATGAAATATTAGAAGAAAATACGAATAAATAAAGAGAATCTTAAAAAAAAAAAATAGAATATACAATATAAAAAATGCAATAAAGTTATAATAATGAATTATAAAATTTAAAAAATGAATATAAAGATAAATAATAGAAATTCGAAGACATTTATAAATAAAAATGTAAATAAGAAATCGGAGATATTAATAATTTAGATTTAAGCTAATAAGTTTTATAAAATAACTCTTTTATTATTTTATAAGATAATTATAATTATATAAAAGAAGAATAAGCTTAAAAAATGAAGTAAATATAAATAAAATTATAAGCTATTTTTTTTTTTTTCATTATAAATAATATAGAAACTTAGAAACAGAATATAAGAAAAAATAGTAAGAATTTTAATTAGAATAATAATAAATAATATATATATCATAATAAGGAGAAGATATTTAGTTTACAAAATATGAAAACGAATTAATTTAAAAATAACAAAAAATCGAAAAAGAATATGAAGAAAAATATGAAAAATTGCGTGTCGAATTCGAAGAAAAATAAAGGTTTTTTGAAGAATAAATTAAGGAAAAAGAAAATGCGAAAATAAAAAAAATAAAAGAAAAAATGCTAAATCAAAATGAAAAATTGAAAATTGAAAATTTAGAAAAATTAGAAGAATCTTTTATATCAAAATAAAAATAAATAGAAGATTAATATGAGGATTAAATAGCTAAATTAAATCTTTAATATAAGGAACTATAAGAATATTGTAATTAAATAGAAAAAGTACATGAAAGTTAATTAATGAAATATTAAAATAGAATTAAAGAATAGATAAATATATGTTAAAATTAATATAATTAGAAATTAAAAAAAAGAAAAATTGATATTAATAGTTCTAATTTGTAAGATAAACTAGATATATCTATATTAAAAATGTAAGAAGAATAAATAAAAATATTAGAATAAATAAAAAATGATTTAGAAAATGAAGAGAAATAATAATAACAATAAAAATGTATAAACTAAAAATTTAAAAATAAATCTAAGTAAGAAATTTAATATAAAGAAGAAGAATTATAATTTAAAAAGAATCTAAATTCAATTTAGGAAAGACCATCTTAAGAAAGTATTAATGAAAGTTAAAATAAAAGTGAAATAATTAAAAAATAAAGAGAACATTATAATAATAATAATAATAATAATAATAATAAAATAATAATAATAATAAATAATAATAATAATAATATTAATAATAGCACTATGTCTTTAAATTAAAGTAATATTTAGAAAATGAAATAAAAATATTATTATAATAGTAATATAAATGAATCATATAGTCAATAATAAAATAATATGAGTTAAACTCAATAGTAATATTTTTTAATAATAATATATAAAAATAATATTATTTTATATAAAATTTATACATAAATATATATATAAATTTTATATATATATATATATATATTATTTATTAATATAAATATATTTTTATTTTTATTTATTTTAGGAATATTTCATTTACTAAACAAAATATTTTAAATGAATCTTAAAGAAGACATTTAACTAGAGTTTCTAATAGTTATTAATAGAAATTTTCATAAAGTTAAATTGATTATGATGAAGATATATATATTACTAGATAATAAAGAATTAGCAATAAGTAAGAATAATAAAACAAAATAAAATTTAAAATGGAAAAAGAAAAAGATATGACTTTTTTCGAAAGAATTAAATATGTTTTAGGATGTACTAAAAGATGAAAACAACAATAACACTAATAAATATATATTTTTTAATAAAAAATTAATATAAATAAATATATATTTATATATATTTTTTTAATATTCAGATTTCAATAAGATTATCAAATCTTCTTTTGGCTTCTAAATAAAGTATAGACTCTTTATAAGTAACTGGGAATATCTTTTTAATATTTTCAGAATTTATTTTATACATAATATGCATTTCGTTAGTTAATTATTTCTACTTATTTTATACTTTTTCAATTATAACTTTAATAATTATATTTTTATCAAATTAATAAACTACTTTTGCCTCAAATCTTAATATATTGCTCACTTATACAGGGTTTATAACTTAGAAATCATTTATATGTGAAATTTCTGGATATATTCCATATTTTTCGGTTGTATTTGAGAATTTATAAGCAGTAATCCAGGATAAGTCAATTGCTTCTTTAATTAAATTACCTGCATAAACATAACCTTATTAATTAAGTTCTTAGGCTTATATTATCATATACTTTTCTTATGTAGTATCATCAATTTATACTTAATTATCTTTTTAATTTTACATAAAAAATTAATGAATTTAATCAAATTCGGCTTAGTTTGGTGTTTTATGATTTTAAATTAGTTCCTCTTCCCTCTTTTATGCATTTTCAATTCCAATTTAAAATAAGCTTTTAAAAAGTTATTAATTTTTGCATTTTTATATAACAAAAGAAGGCATTTAATTAAAAGGTTTATGAGTATTTTTATCTTTAATTTCCAAAATAAATGAGGTGAAAGAAATAAATTTTTATTTTTAGGAATTTTAGGGGTCTTCCTATTTTAAATCTATTCGAACTTCCAAAGTATTATCTTATTAAAATGTGGGATATCCGCTTATATATAAATCCTATAGAGCATTAATTTCATTATAAATATACATGTGGTTTATATATTTTGTAGTCACAAATGCATTGTCAATATTATAACAGTAGTCAAGACCTACATTTATGGCTATATGGTCTAATAATACTAGAAGTTTAGAAATACGAATTTATGTAGCGTAGTGACGTTGGTATTTATTCCTTAATTCTTATTAAGACTTAAACGGAACTTTTATTTAAATGAAACAATTTGAGGGATTGTTGGTAGGTTAAAAAATAGCTTTTTAAAAATTTTTGAGACGGGAAATCTATATATCGGAGAATTTATTGAAAAAAGAAAGGTATATGTTATTATTTAAAATTTCTTAGGAGGATAATTGATAGATAATATCTTTTTGAGGATGGTATAACAGGGGAGCTTTTTTAAATGTGGTTAGAAATAAGTCTGAAAAATGGTATTTAGATATACTTTTTTATAAGTTTATAAATGTAATTAACATATATAGTAAGTTTGCGTTTTTAAGTTTTAATGATCTATAGTTTTTTTTTATTCATATATATATATATAAATATATATATATATATATATATATTTTCTTATTTAATTTTTATATACAAATATTTATACATAAATTAAAAAAGATATTTAAAAAAAAAAAAAACAGTACTTTAATTTTAAATATAATAAAAATAATTATCAAAAAAATAAAAACAAAGATAAAAATAAAATTACATAGACATAAAAAATAAAATTAAAATCTAAAATAAAAAAAAGAGAATTAAAATAAAATAAAATAAAAGCATAAAAAAAAAATACACAAATAATTGGATATTATATATATAAAAAAATATATTTATTCATATTTATTCATATATATAAATAAAAATAAATATATATATATATATATATATATATATATATATATATATATTATATGTATTAATATGTATTTATATATATATAAAAAAAACATTTATATTTATATTTTATATATATATAGTAAATATGAATTAATTTCCTTGTAATCTTAAAATAAAAATTATATTTTTTTATTTTTCTATAATTTCTCAAGTAATATTTAACTAATAACCTCCTCCCTCTTAATTAAATCTAGTAGTTGAAGTTTTTCGTCATGGCGCCCGTTATCCTATATTTGATAATTTCGATTCAAAAATTTAATAACACGATGAATTATCTTCCTAAGGTATGCGATAGCATTATTAACTAGGATAAGCATTAAGGAAGAAATATATAGAAGATTTATAATTTTTACCAGATCGTTTTGATGGTAATTTAATGTATATTTTTTCCACTGATGTAAATAGGACTTTAATTTCTGTAAATTCATAATTATCTGGATTATATCCTTTAAATTATGGAACAAAAATACCTTAAAATTTGAATGATTTGTCTATTTTGGATCCTCCATTTTTCCCTAAATAGGTTTAAATTTAAGAAGAATTTTCATTATCTTAAGGTTAGTAAGTCTTTCCTATACACACAATAGATAATTTTAAAAACAAGTAATTAAGAGGATTCGATAAAGGATGTCCTAATACTAAATATTGGATTAATGCAAATAGAAACGATAGCGATTGGTTGAAAGTAACTGAGTTATACAAAAGTACATTAGAATAATTATCTAATGATAAATAATTTAATATACCTAAAGAATTTGCTAATAATATTGAATATGCTGCTTAGGTTATGGACACTATTATTGCGGATGTATTTAATGGAAGAAATACTACAGCTTATAACCCTTAGTTTTATTAAGATTTGGAGTTATTAATGAATACAGTTAGCCATTTGTTGCTCTTTAAAACTAAATAATAAAGAAGTGTTACTGTAACTCCTTTTTTTTAAGAATTAATTGCTTATTTCGAGAATAATATTAATAAAATTTCCGGGAAAAAATGGTATATGCTAAGTGCACATGATTCTACATTATAAATGGTCTAATAAGGGCTTAATTTTACTAATTGGGAATGTCTGATTTTATATAAGGAAAAAGGAGTAAAATAAAATAACTGTGATACTGATTTTCCAAAATTTGCTTCAAATATTATTTTTGAATTAAGACATGATACCAATACACATAAATATTTTGTAATGATCATGTATAATGGAATTTATTAGAATATTTGTGGAGAATAGAATACTGTTTGTGATTATGAGAAGTTTAAAAGTATTTTAGAAAATTAAATTGTTAGTGATTTTGATGAATAGTGTGGGATTATCACTGGGAGTAAATATGTGGCTAAATGGGCGATTGCTGTTCCTATTTTACTTATTTTATTGTTTTTGGGAACTGTGGGTTATTTATACTTTTTGGTTAGGAAAACTAAAATTAATAATTAAAATTAAGTATTGTTATAATAATAAGAAAATTATAACTGAAATTTTATTTAATTTTAATAATTAGTTTTTTTTTTTTTTTTTTTAACAAAACAATAAAATTATTGATTATAATATTTTTTTTTTGTTTAATATATATATTATATATATAAATTAAAATGTATAAAAGTATTAATATATAAACAAAAAAATGATTTAATAGAAATAATATTAAGATAAATTATTACCATTATTTTTATATAATAAAATTAATAAACTCTAATATTATTTTATATTAAAAAAATATTTAAATATACGAAGATTATAATATATATATTATTTAATTATAATCTTATTTATTTATTTTTTTTATCATCTTTTATTTTAATTAAAATATAAGAAATAATATTAACTTTTTTTCATAGCTTTTTTATATATTTTACAAACAACCAACATTATGTTTTGACAAATATATATTTTAATTTATTCTTAGTATATTTATTAACAAATATCTTTTATAATTTTAAATAGTTGCATTAGATTAACAATTATAGTAATCTAAAATGAGAATTTTCTTAAAAAAATAAATAAAATCCATTATCACATATAAATTTATAAATATAAAATAAAAATAAAAAAAAAATTAAATCAAATATATATGTGAAATTTTTAAAAATAAAATTTATTTAAAAAAATTCTTATTCTTTATAGATAAATGTTTTTTATAATTTAGTCTTAATTTATTATTACTATCTTTTTTTATTTATATTTTTTAATATTATTTAATTATTTACATCTATTCTTTATAATTATATTTTTTTTTTTTTCTTAATTTTTATATATTATATGATAAATATATTAATCCTACTAATTTTTTCTTTTTTCTTTACATTTATTTTTACAATGTATTATTAATTTAAGTCATATATCATATATAGATTTACTTATTTATAATTTTTTATACATTATATTTTAGTATAATTAAAAAATATTTTTTTAAATTTTAGTATTCTTTTTTAATAAAGTAATTTTATTATTTAATCAAACCTTTTCATTTATGAACTTTATTTTTACAAAAAATTAGTTATTTATTAAAATCATGTATTTTTTTTATCATTTGGAAAAGTAAAAAATCTGCTTTAAATAAACATTTCATTTTTTTATAAAGATTACATATATTACATAAAATGGTTTTACATTTTTTATTTTTCTTTTATAAATGAGTAATCGTTAAAATATTCCTTTTTTATTAAATTTTCGATTATGTCTTACTTTTGTTTTCCACACATATAACCTTATTTAACTTTTTTTGTTAAAAAATTCTCTTTGTCCATATTTTTAATTTTCGTATATAAAGAAAATTTTCATTTTTCTATTCTATTGGCATATATATTTCTTAATTTTTATTAATATAATTATATATTATAATTATATATAGATAATTAATATTTTTATTTAATTTTAAATCGAATAGCTATTTAATAAAAATATTAAAAATCAATATTTTTTTTTTTAATAAAATAAGTAATAAAGAAACCTGTAATATATTTTAAATATAAATTAATAATTTAGACACTTTATTATATAATAATTTACTTATACATAAAAGTATAATAACCTTAATATATTTTTTTTATCTTAAAAAACTAACTTATATTTAAAATAATATTTCCAAAACAACTAAGCATATATCCTCATTCCTATAAACAAAATCGTAATAACGCTCAATCTTATTCAATGAAGTAAATGTCCTAAAGTAATCATAGTTACTAACATATATAATATAATGAGTAAATATATTTAGTATAATTATCTTAATATATTAAGTTTTTTTTATTTAGTCATTTATCTTTTTTCTATTTAAAATTTTATTTAATATAAAGCTAAGTCATATATAGATTACACAAAATATCACAGGTAGTGAATATTTTAAAAATAAGTTTTTATAAATCGACATTTTTTCGAAATATTTTAAACACAAAAATTAAAGGTAAGTAATGCGTTTTTAAGTTAAAAAAAAAAATCTGTATGATGACGAAAAGATAATTAAGCTCTTAAGGAATTTATAAAAATTTTATAAAAAAAGTCTAAAATTAAAGGTTTATTAAAAATTTACTATTTTTATATATTTTAAAGTGATTAATTTTTAATTCTTCATTACTTCGTCCATCCATATCTCACTCCGCTTAAAAATATTAAATTTATATAAAATTTCAATCATAAATTAATACAATGTAAGAATATTATTTATTAATGGTTTATAAGGAATAAATACACAAAATATATAAAAAAATAAAAATGTTTAATAAATTACTATACTATTCAAATGTTATAAAATTGTGTTATATTGCCAAATTGTATGATGAAAATTATATAATTTTTATGTATACTAAGTTTTAAATTGTATATTATTGAAAAATTATAAGATATAAGTTAAAGAATAAACGTTAATTTAAATTTTATATAAATATTATATCATATTAAAATAATTATTAAAGGGTTAAATTATCATTTATTCAATTTTATTTGAATGTTATATTATAAATTTTATGAAGTTTAATTATTTGTTTAATTCCTTAATTTATAAGTTTTTAAGTTAGATTAAAAATAACAGTTATTAGATTAATAAAAGGTTTTTTTTTCAAAACGATATAATATTAAATTAAATATGGTTATTATTATATATAAAGTAAACTATCATTTTAAAAAAATGAATTATAATTATTTAGCAATTTTTAAAAAAAAGATAAAATATAATAATAAATTATATATAATAATTTTATTATATAATTAAATAAATTTCTTAATTTTTAATAATAATATAATAATATTTTATATTATTTTAGTTTATTATTAAAATAAAAGAAGATTAAATAATTTTTAATAATAATTATATAGGAAAATTTTTATTATATTTATATATTAAAATATTTATAAATTTATATATATATATATATTTATATATTTATATTTATATATATATTTTTTAATATATCTATTTTTAATTTATTATTATTATAATAATAGTTTAATCTTATTTTTTATATTTTTTTGTAAAATTACATAAATATTATATTAATTTAATTTTATTATAAACAACATAAATAAAATATAATATACAATTTTTAAATTTTATCTATAAAAAAATGAAAAAATTTTGTATTATAAATTAAAATATAATGTATATTATATTAAAATATTTTTATGTAATTTTTTTTTTATATTTATTCCAATATTTTATTTTTTTTTAAAAAATTCTTTTATTATTATTATATATATTTATTTTTTAAAATTATTTTAAAATTTATAGACGTATTATTTTTTTTTTAAAATAAACTACTTTTACTAAATTAAGATTAAATTACGAAATATTAAATATAATTAAAAAAATTAATTTATTATTTATTTTTATAAATAATTTATAAAATAGTAAACTTAAATTCATAATATGTATTTGATGTATCGTAATACTATTTCATAATTTATTTAAATATACATAATATTTAAATATATTATCAATTATTTAATAAGAAAATTATTAATATACATATATTGAATATTGTTATTTTTTTGTTTTTCCTTTAATTTATTTTTAATAACTTAATCAATAAAAAAGGCTAAAAAAAAATAACTGTCTTTTTTTCTTTTTAGATAGAGTTTTATTTAAAAATGAATGTTATATTTAAAAAATTATAAGTAATTATATATAGTTCTGATATATTTATTTTTAATAATTAATAATTTATTGATTTATTCATTTTTATATTAAATAATTTTATTAAATTTTTTGATACTCATATTTATTTTTAGATTTTTTTATTATAATTTTTTTTTATAAAATATAATAAATAATAATTAAATTTTTTGTTCTCTTTTTTTTTTATTTATTCTTTTATTTTTTTAAATGTATCAATAAAAAAAAAATATATTACGTCCTATTTTTTTAATTGATTATTTTTTATAAAAATACAAAAAAAAATAAAAAAAAACTCAGAATAAATATTATATTTATTCTTCTTTTAATTTATACTTTTAAATAATTTATACTTTTAATAATATTCTATATTAAAATAATTTTTAGAACTTTATATAAATAAGTTAGATAAAATAGAATTTTTTCAATAAAATATAATATTAATAACCCAAATAAATAATATATTTTGTAAACTTTCAAAATAAAAATATTATTATTTAAAATATTGAATATTTTTATTGTAATTTATTTATTTTTTATTTAAAAAAATAAAATTGTAATTACAATTGTTTTTTTTTCTTTTTAATAAAATAAAAAATTTAATTTATATTAATATTATTATGATTATATATTTTTTTCCCATTGTATATATAATTAGATTTAATTTCTCTTTCTCTAAATATAATTAATATATTACTAAAAATACTAAATAAAAAAAAAATATTGTCATAAACCCTATTAAAGAATATAGCAAGCAAAAAATGAATTACTATAAAAACCAAATATAAAATGAAGTATTATTTATTCTAGATAGTTTAAAGAAAGACAGATATTTCTTAAATAAGCATTTTCAAAACTCAATAATAAATTATTTCTTAGAAGATTGTGCCGGCAAGTTATTAAAAAAAGTGCTTAATATAAGGACTCTAATATAAATCCAGAATTATATTTTCGAAAAGTACACTGATTATAAAGGTCCTAAATATATGAGATTGCTAAACAGTTATATCAGGGAAATTAAAGCATTCAATTTATAAGAATAACTAAAAAAAAAATTAATTTCTCAATTCATTGCAGAAAATACTTACTAAGATGTTGGTTCTAAAGAATGGTAAACTAACGTTTGGAAAAAAGCTTTCTCTTTGTTTGTTTACCATTATATTGATCATAATGAACTTACATGCATTTTCTCTATTTGGAATAGTTTGTTCCCTGAATAACCTATAATTAGAAAAAGAAAAGAAAATCACCAACATATTCCTAATAAGCAATAATCAAAAAATTCTTTTTCTGAATTTTCTGAATAATCTTGTGAAACTTAAGAATGTTATCAATCTTTGAAATCTTAGTAAGAAAATGAATAAAAGACTGTTTAGTAGATTTTCATGTTTAATGATTGTCCTAAGGAAATTATTAATAATCATATTTTTGATGACGTAGAACATATATAATAATAAGAAGAAAAAATGCAGTAAAATTATTAATAATCTCTTTATTAATAAATGATTTACTTATAAAAATAATATTCTTAATAATAATAATTGTAGCAGTAGGAACATTAGTAATTATAATAATAATAATAATAATAATAATAATAATAATAATAATAATAATAATAATAATAATAATAAGATAAGAAATTATATTCAAATAATAAGACTTTTAGTGTGAATTTGAACTTTAAGATGGATTCCTTTTAGATTAAGGGTTTAATGAAAATTCTTGTCCTCTGTTTTTATATTAATTTTGAAAATGACGGGTTAAAAAAAATTTTTTTTTTTTTTTTTTTAAGAGAAAAAATAGTTTTTTTTTTTTTATTTCCTTCACTTATAAAAAAATAAAATTATAATGAAACAAAAACTAATGGATAAATATGAATCTTTTATCTCTTACTAATATTAAAGATTCTTATTTTGAAATCAGATATTATTATTTATTAATTATGGAAAATAATATAAATATGAAACAAAAATTACTAACTATTTGCTCAATTTATATTATTTTTCAATAATTATTTATATATCCATATTTTCGGGAAATTTTTTTAATAATAAATTATTTATTTATTTATTTATATTTTTTACTATTTTTTAAAAGTTATTAATATACTTTTAAATGATTTTTTTTTATTTTTATATTTAAATATATATATATATTATAACTTATAATTTTTTTTTCATATTTAAATCAGATTTCTTAAAATTTAAAATAAATTTTTAGTTATATTTAAAAAAAATAATAATAAAAAAAAAATGTTTATATTAATAAAAAATACATAAAAACATCATTTACTCTTACCTGTTTATTATTATTACTATTATCCATTTCCCATATCTCTTAAAACGACAACCTCATTTGTTGCTCTATTGAACTCCCATCCCCCAAATATCAAAATATGAGGTCCGATAGAACTAGCAGTATGTCCATATCTATTAAGTGGCGGAATACCTTCAAATCTTCCTTTTTCCCAGCACATAGTTTCTGTATTAAGCACCAAGAAATAATCAATATCAGCTTACGGAATGAAATTTTACTCTCCTCTAGCTCCTGAATTATACGACCAACCTCCAAAAAAGATAATATCAGGTCCTGAAATATTCGAGGCATGTCCATATCTTGGAGTTGGCGGTGTTCCGCTAACTCTAAGTCTCGACCAGATAAAATTATCGGTGTCTAGTATCCTTAAGTCATTCAAAAAGCAGGAGCGTAATTAAGTACCTTATTTAAACCCACATTTTTTTTATTTTTCATCATCAAAACAAAAGCCTCCTTATATAATTAAATTATTCCCAACTTAAATTGCAGTATGGCCCTGTCTTGGGGATGGCGCAGGACCAGAAGAAGACGGCTAAGTCCAGGCCATAACTTCCAAGTCTAATAAATATAAATCATTGAAAAATTCATTGCCATTCCATCCTCCGAAAATAAGCATTTTTGAACCTCCGACTAAATTTGCAGAATGAGCGAATCTAGCAGAAGGTGAACCACTACCTTCGGGACCTTAATACCAGGTCGCTGTTACGGGATCTAGAGCATGGAGGTCACGAAAAACTTTACCTTTTTAACCTTTCCCTCCAAATATTATAATTCGAGAACCGGCGAGGATTGCTGAATGATTATAACGAGAAGCTGGAGGTGTACCGGATATTTTAGGCTTCTATATTATTATTTTTATACACATTATATGTATATTTATTTATTTTTACATTCCATCTATTAGAATTTACATCTAATATATATGTATCGTTTAAATATACATAACCTTTTGCTTTTCCTGCATAATAATGTCCCTATATTTAAATATATATATATATTATTTTTAAAAAAAAAATATTACTCCAAAAATAACTATTGTTGCGCCTGAAAGGGTTGCACTATGTCCACCTCTTGGACACGGAGGAACTCCTTCAATTAAAGGGGTTGCCCATTACCATTTTCTAGGTTCATATTCTTAGTCATAAAAATATTTATCTGATTGGCTTTATTTTTCACTTTATGTATTATTTAATTTTAATTAATCTTCTTCTAGACGTTAATAATTATTGTTTTCGGAATAGTTTTGAATATCTTGATTTTGGTTGTTTTGGATACTATTATTATTGTATTATTAGTCGTTTTAATCATATATTTCATCTTCTTCTTAATCGTATTCTTATTGTTGGTCATTATTATAATTTTTTTCTCCTTCACCTTCTTCTTGATATTCGTATTGGTCGTCGCCATCTTCTTCTCCTTCTTCTTCTCCTTCTCCTTCTCCTTCTACTTCTTCATATTGGTCTTCGTTTTCGTAATATTCGTTTTGGTCTTAACTGTTTTATTCCATTTTTTTTATTTTATTAGTTAATATTATTATTTTTTAAATAAAAAATATAAATAAGGAATTAATATTTAAAAATTATTTAATTTTTTATCTCAGTTATTTTTATTTAATTATTATTTGATTTATATAATATAGTTTTTTTTTTTTTTAAATAAAATATAATAAAATATTAACAATATAAATAAATAATCAAGTTTGCTTGTTTAAAAATTATTATTTTTAGTTTTATAATTCTAGTACATAATATTAAATAAAAATATATTGATGATTTCTTATATAAAATAACTTAACAAACTTATTAAATAATATTTATATTGTTTATATAAAAAAAAAGATAGTATATTTTAAAGAATTAATATTTTAATATATTTTATTGAAAAAAATAATAATTATGTTTTTTTTTTTTTTTTTAAAGTAAAAAGATAATTTAAATTAAAATGGTAAAAAATTAATATTCAAAAAAATTAATTTTTTTTTTTTTAAAAATTAGTAAATAAATAAATTAAAATATTTAATAATTTGTTAAAACCTTAATAAAATATTTATTAATATGGACGTAAAATAATTATTAAAAATCTATTTCAATTTTTTTATGTGTAAATTTTAAAAAAAAAAATTAATAAATATAATATTAAAAAAAAAAAAAATGGAAGCAACATTATTAGTAGAAATACAAGAAGAATTAAAAAGTCAAAATAAAATAAATAGTTTTAGTTGTTTTTTAATAGGATATATATTTGCTTCTAAAGTTGAAAAATCATTTAATTAATTCAAAGATATACTATCAAATATTAAAAATTTAAATTAGTAAAAAAAACAAGAAAATATAAATTATTCATAATATATAATTATAATTGAAGAAATTTCGAAAGCTTAAACATAAAAAAATGTAAAAACTAATAAAAAAAAAAAAATATAATTTTAAAAAATAAGTTTGAATATAAATTAATAATATAAAAAATTAAAAATATATATATATATATATATTTATATAATTATATTTTTATATATTTATTTTTTATGTTTTATTTTAATAAAGATTTAGTGTATTATTTAAGAACAAAAACTTAAATTTTCATAATTAAGAGTATAAATTTAAAATGTAATTATAATATATATTTTTATTTATTTAGTTATAAAATTAAATACTGAAATAATCAGATATATTTAATTCTTATGTAAAAACTATCGATTAATAAATAATATTTAATAACATTTAATAGAAATATTTTTAATAAAATGATATAATTAATGAAATTATTGAAGAAGATGAAGCTTCTAATATATCTATTAAAATTTAAGAATAATAATAACTTAATATTTAAACTAATAAAGATATTTAAGATACTATTTCTTTTTTAAAATAAAGAAGTAATGATGAATAATCATGCAAAAAATAATAAATTTAGAAATTTATATCATATTTAGATATTAATAATTGTAAAAATAGTTCAAATTAAATTTTTAAAACTAATATATTATCTTAACAAGAATTCCAAAGTAATTTAGTTTATAAATAAATATACTGAATTATTTACTTTGTACAAAATATTAGAATTCTATATTATTATAAAATATTTTTTTTATATATAATTAAAAAATATGATAATTAGTATATATATATATATAATTAAAATTTTATATAAATTAAAATAATTAAATAAAAAAAAATTATAAATATAAAATATATAATTTTTATATATTATATATAAAAAAGAAAAAAAATTATATATTTATTGAATATATATTATTTATTATTATTTATATATTTATATATTTTTTTTTCGTTTTTATTTTAAATTTATTTATTCATATTAAATTTAATTTATTTTTATAATAAAAATATATATACATACATATTTTAAATAAGAATTTTTTTTTTTAATCATCTAGTAATTAGTTTTATATTTCACTTTTATGATTAATTTTGAAGATTAATTAGCATAAATTCGTTAAAAAAATCGCGAATAAAAATATAAAGAATCTTAATTAAACTATAGTTATATAGATGAAAATGTATTTAAAATAATAAATAAAGATACCGGAGAAACATTTGATATTAGAAAATTTTACTAAAATGATATATAATATTAATAATTTGATATTAATTCTTAAAATAATTTTTTAACTTAATTATAACCATGGACAGATTGGTGGTAAAAAAAACGAGAAATAAATAATAAATTTATATAATTTGCAAAATAAAATGATTATATTAATTGTATTAAATAATTAGATAAAAAACTTGCAGATTTAAAAGCTGATATAAATTCTAAAAACAAGGAAACAGGATAGACTGCTTTGCATTATGCTTGCTTAAATAATAATTTATAATTAGGTATATATTAATATAATAAATATATATATATATATATATATATATATATATATATATATATATATATATATATATATATATATATATATATAAACTAAATAAAATATATATATCTTATCTTCTTTATTTAATATTAATAGTTAAATAACTATTATTATATGAATGTAATATAGATTGTTTAGATTTAAGAAATAAAAGTCCTTTAATGTACTCTTGTATATAATGTAATTTAGAGATTATTTAAGTATTATTAAATGCTGGAGCTGATATTAATTTATAAGATTAAGAGAAAAATACACCTTTTCATTATTCATGTATATAGGGTGATATATAAATAATTATGTTTTTATTATAAAAATAAAGCTTAAAATTGAATATTTAAAATCAATAAAATCTTTTTGCAATCGATTTAATTTAAAAAAAGAATTAAAACAGGAAGTTTTAAATATAATTAAACACAGGGAATATACAGATGAATAAAAAATAAACATAGTAAATACTTCTGAATAAAAATTAAATGAAATGTTTACACTTCCATCAACTAAACCATAATATATGAACTCTATATAATAAAAAAATGCCTTTAATTCAGATAAGATAGGCCCTAATAGCTTCCTTGTACATGGCTTAATTGGAAAAGGGTCCTTCGGAGAAGTCTATTTAGTCGAAAAAAGCGATTAAGGGAAACTTTATGCTATGAAAGTGTTACATAAATCTAAAATAAATAAATAAAATTTAGGTTAATATGCTATGTCAGAACGAAATATACTTAGTTATATAAAACATCCTTTTATAGTACATTTATATTTTGCCTTTTAAACTTAAGATAAGCTTTTTTTGATTCTCTAGTATTGTCCAGGAGGTGATTTGGGCGAGCTATTAAAAAAAGAGAAAAAATTTTGCGAAGAAAAAACTAAATTTTATCTTTCAGAAATTATTTTGGCATTAGAATTTTTACATTAAAAAGATATAATATTTAGAGACTTAAAACCAGATAATATAGTACTCGATTACGAAGGACATGTTATGATTACAGATTTTGGATTGTCCAAAGAAGGAATTATTGATTAGTGTATAGGCGCTAAGTCTTTTTGTGGAAGTTATGCTTATTTAGCGCCAGAAATGCTTAAATAAACTGGACATGGAAAAGCTGTAGATTGGTATTTGCTAGGAGTTCTAATGTATGAGCTTTTAATAGGAGAACCACCTTTTTATACTTCAAATAAGTTATATCTTATATATAATTTTTTAATTTTTATGTTTATGAATTTTAATTAATAGAGATATATTATTAAAAAATATAGAAGGTGGAAAATTAAATATACCAGAGTATTTATCATTAGAAGCTAAATCTATTCTGAAATCAGTATATTATTATTAATGTCTTTTTTATTTATATTAAATAATTTATATTTATAGCTTTTGTAAAAAAATCCTATAAAAAGATTAGGTTCAGGTAAAAGGGATGCTGAAGAAATTAAAATACATCCATTTTTTAAAAACATAAATTGGAAAGACGTTTATGATAGGTTATAATTATAAATATAATATTATATATAAATATATATATATATATATGTATATATATTATATATTCTATATATATATTAATACATATATTTTAAAATTTTGTATATAAATATTTATAATATTATTTATATTTTAATTTATTTATAAATTTATTTTTTATTTTTTATTTTTAATGAATATTTTTTTTTTTTTATTTATATTTATTTATTAAAATATAGGAAACTAATAATGAATACTCCACATAGATATATTAGATTAAAAACATAGTTTGATTATAATGTTTTTGAACCACTAAGCTTTGTTGATAAAAATAAATAATATGTTGATGGATGGACCTTTGTTAATTAAGCAAGTATTATTTAAAAATAAATATGAGTATTATATTTAATTTATATTATTTATTTATGAATAATTTAATTATAATATTTTTCTTATAAAAAAATAAATATATTTTATTTTTTTCATTTTATAAATTTTTTATTATATATTTTTATATTATTATATTTTTTTCTAAATATTTTTATTTTTATTTCTATAAATTTACTTTATAATTTGTTAAAAAATATAAAAAAAGGATAAGTAGTTTTATGTATTTCCTGATGTCTCAGCATATTTATTATACTTCATTTTTTCTATGATATCAGTTAGACATACCTGTAATAAAGTTTTTACATTTGGTTTTATTTTTATCCTTTGTAATTAATTATTTCTGATATTAATTTTTACTTACTATTTCTTTTGGCATATATATTATAGTTAATTTTTAATTCTTCCTCAACTTGATGCATTAATTTATTTAATGTATACTATATTTTTATATTTTTGATTTACATTTTTATCTATCTAATATTTATCCCCCCCCACTCCATTATTTTCTTTGCTAATTTTAATTCGGTTTAGTTTAAACCTTTTCATTTCACATATTCTATAAATTTTTACTTAATTTATTGATAATTATATCATTTATATTATAGATACAATTCTTTTCTGACTGATAGTTCTACTTCTACCTGTTCCCTTATTGTAAATTCTATATATTTTGTTATATAAATATATATAAATGATTTTTTTTATTTTATTGTTCTGTATTATGTTTTTTATCTTTAAATATATGTTACATACATACATTATAATTAATTATAAAATACATGAATTTGTGTCTTTTACAAAATATTTTCGAATATGTTTTATAAATTATATAAATATATATATTATAATTTCAAAACATGAATGAATTTTTTTCATTTATAGATTTCAAATAAAAAAATTATTAATAATATAATGTATATATAAAAATAAACAAAACTATTCTTAAATTAACTTTTTAGTATTAAATTTTTATAATTTTTAGGTTAAATTCGTTATAAAATTTTAAAAATGCAATGATTAAAGAACTATTCTGAAATTTTTATTGTAAAAAACTTGAAAAGTATTTTTTAAGATAATTTTATTTTTAGTAAATAATATAATAAAATAATAAAACAAAAAATGTAAAAATTTAAAATAAAAATATATAAAACATATAAATAAAGATAATTAAACTATAAATTATAAAAAGGATAAAAAAAAAAAAGAGTTTAAATTGAATTTTATTAAAAAAACAAAAAAACAGTTTTAAAATAGTTAGAATCAAAAATATTAAAAAAATATTAAGAAATATTAATTAAAAATTATATTTTATAAGAAATTAATTTATAAAATAAAATATAAATGATCAATAAAATCAAAATAGAAACAATATAAAACATTTTTTTTATTATTTTATTTAAGAAAATATAAATTAATCAAAATAATAATATAAAAAAAAATATAAAATCAATATATTAAAAAAAAAAATAATATAATTATAAACCATAATAAAATAAAAAAAATTAGTTAATATTAAATAAATTAAATTAAAAGAATTTAATATATAAAATATATTCACAATAGTAATATTTTTATATAATTATATAAGTAATATATTTAAATATATATATATATTTTTTAAAAAATAAAAAAACTTAGATTATATAAATATTTTTCAAAAAAACATATATTAATATAATTTAAAAATAATATATTTAAATTAAATAATTTAATAAAAGAAGATAAAAAAATAATATTAAAATATATAAAATATATAAATATATATATATATATATATAAATATATATATATATATTTATTTCTATTTATTAATACTTATTATAAATTAAAAACTTTTACTATTAAATTAAAGTTTTTAATTTATTTCTCTAATTTGAATTTATAGATGTAATTATATATTTATTTATTTTTAATTAAAAACAAAAAATAATAGAAACAAATAATTAAAAAAAAAAAAAAAATCAAAAACAAAAAGATATATTTATATAAAAAAATGAATGATAAATTTAATTTTTAAAGCTAAATTGAGCATTTGCATTTAAAATATGTAGGAACAGGTACATAAGAAACTACTAAATGGGAATGGGGAACAAATATATAAAGGGATTCGTTAGCATCACATATTGGGCATCATTCTAGACTTTAATATTTTGCAATAGCAGAAAATGAATCTACTATGAGATTAAAAAATAGGTTTTTAAATAAAATGATTCAACCTTGTGGACCGCCTCCTCCTGCCCGTAAAAAAGGCGAATTATGAATAATATTAAATAAATTTATATCATTTAATTTTATTTTTAAATAAAATTTTTATTAGATTATTTTTAAAATACTGTATTTTTACTATTTTTAATATATATATTTTTTTTAATAAAAAATAAATAAATTATGTTTTTGTTGTTGTTTTTTTTTTTTAATTAAATTTTTTATATCTTAAAAAAAAATGTAATTTCGTTTGTGTATATATTAAAATTTTTATATGGAAATAAAAGAAAAAAAAATATAATTAAAAATTTATATTTTAAATACACTATTAAAAGAATATTAAATTTTTATAAAAATATATATTTATATGCCTTTATTTTTATTTAAATTGTAATTATTCTTTAATAAAAAAACAAAACAAAAACAAAAACAAGCAAAATCATTTCTAAGTAATTAATCTTTTTAAATTATTTTGTAGTAAAGAAGTTTAAGGAATAATTTCTTTTAATTTAAATAATGCCTTATATAAATAAAATTAAAATAAATAAAAATAAATATATTTACTCCTTCTTCAAAAATACTTTATTTTTTTTAATACTAACAACTCCAGTTTCAGAATCGATTTTAGCTTAAATAGAAGAATTTCTAATAAAATTAACAATCCACATTTCAGCATCTTCAATACTACAATTTAAAAATGAGCTAACCATCCTTTTTTTTATATATATATATATATATATATATATATATATATATATATATATATTATTATTTTTTTAAAAAAAAAAATATTAATATTACTTAATTTCTACTATATCAAATATTCTACAATATGTTTTAAAAAATAAATGTTAAGCAGCAATAACAATTTAGTTTTTATGGAAAGATAAAAAATAATCATTATTAATTGTTTATTCTAATGTTTTTAAAACTTCTTCAGCTTATTTGAATTAAAAATCTACTAAGAGTAATCTTGTGAATTTTACTAAATCATCTTTATAATCAAATATTTCTTTTTGAACTTAAGATAAGAAATAACTTAAATTATTTTCAGCATTTCTAGATAATAATAAAGCACAAATTATATATCTTATCATATTAGAACTTACCATTTATATGGATGCTAAGAAATTTTAACTATTAGATAATTAATAAAATGCTTCGAAATCCTTTTATAAATATAATATATATATATATATATATATATATATATATATATATATACATCTTCATTTGATTTTGGTTAAAAATATGCATATAAAGCATGATATAGTAAATAAACTCTATTATAAATTTAGAAATGATAATTACTATCATACATAAACTTTTATTTTTATTTTAATTTTTATGTAGTTTTATTATTTGATATAAATAATAAATTACATTATCTTCGATTTTAACTCGTATATTTTAAATTGTATCTTTAGATTCGTCGAATTTTCCCAAAATTAATTCAGCACTTAATTTTCCCCAATAAATATTTAATTAGGCTATATTATCATCATTAACTAAATTTTATAAGCAATTTATTATTCTTAAGGAGGATTCGTATTATCCTGCTTCATACATAATATGGGCATATTAAGTTAATTTTTGAATGTTTTCATATTTCTATTTTTTTTATATGAATATATATATATAAATTTATTTTATTAATTAATATATATTACTGTTTCTCCACATAATTTTTAAATTGATGCTCTTGAAAATTTATCTTTTTCCAATTCGGTATATTTAGATTCTAATTTTTCTAAAAATTATTAACATTTTTCATTTAACGAAGCTTATTCAGCAGTTAATTTTTTTAATTATTCAACCTCTATATATAAAATTAATAAATATTAGTATATATATATATATATATATAAAATAAATATTTTATTTTATTTTATATATATTTATTAATTATATTCAATATTGTTTTTTATTACATTTAGTTAGATTAGTGAATTTTTTTTCTTATAGTTTTTATGATTCTTCCAATAATTAATCATACATTCTTGTTTTTAACAAAGCTGCTATTTTTTCTTTTATAAGAAATTGTTCATCGAACTATTTTTTTCTTCGTAATACTTACAAATATTTAAAACTAAATGAGAATCCAAAAAATTTATTTACTCAAAAAATAAATCTGACATTTTTTTGATATTTAATATTTTTTTTATATATTTATCTTTTATTTTTATTTATTTAGATTTTTATTGTTTTATATTTTTATATTTATTTATTTTGGTGTTGAAAATTTAAAAATAAAATATAGATTTATTTATATATATAAACAAAAATATATATAAATATATAAATATATATATAAATAAATATATAATTATATATATATATATATAATCATATTTATATACATATATATACATATAATTATTATTTTTTTTATAGTTTATTTAAATTTTTTACTTTTTTTATGACTTTCTGAATTTTTTTTATTGTATTAATGATAAATAAATATTTTTTAAAATTAGAATAAAAATAGATATTTAATCATTTTTTTAAGAAAAATATATAAAAATAATAACAAAATTTGAATTATACTATATCTTACTCATTTATTATAAAAATTAATAAAAAGCTATAATATATATTTAATTTAAAGATATTTATATATTTTATATAAATTTAATAAAATATATTTCTTAAATTTAAAAAACTAATTATAATTTATTTTTTTAAAATTAACTATTAAAATATTTGATACTATTAATTTTTAAAAGCATGAATAATAATATATATAATTTTAAAAAATAAGTATTAATTAACTTAATTTATATAAAACCTTTTATATTTTTTTTATAAAAAAGAATATTAGATTTTTAAAAAATATAATCTATAGAATAAAAACAAACTATATAATAATAAAAAAATATATATATTTTTATCTGTAATTTAAGTTATATAACTAATTCAGTATCTATTTTTTCTTTTAATCGCCAGTTTACTTAATTATAATAAATTTTATTTATTTATATTGTCATAAATTAGCCTTCACTAGTATTTATTAATTTTATTAAATTCTACATTGTTTAATATTCTTTAAGTTTATTTTAAGAAATAGACCTTATAATATTTTCGTATTAAATATGGTGGATTTTAATTAATTAAAGACCTTCTTTAGAAGGAAAAGCTTTAGGAAAATCTTTCATTTAAATACATTATCAGACTCGAAAAATAATACAGCATTTATAAATTTAAAATATATATATATATATATATATATATATATATATATATATATATATATATATTATCTATTTAACAAAAATAAAATTTTAAATAAATTATTTTATTTTTTAATAAAAACACTAATTTCTAGACTCAGTTAAATGAAATCGAATTACAGTTTAATTTATTTAATAAAATAAATTTTTATAAACTTCTATCAAATTACATATTTTATTTATTTACTTTAAGATAATATTTTTTTGTTTTTAATTGTTAAAATGAAATAAACTCGTTATTTTATAAACTTAGGCTTTATTTTATAAATTTATTATTTTTTATTTTTTCTCTCGTTTTTTATTTAAACAAAATTCAATCTTATTCAGTTTGAAATTTGCTTTATAAAGTTTTTTTTTTTTTAATCATTATTATTATTTTTATATTTAATAAAAAATACTTCTTTTATACTAATGTTTACTTTTTACTTTTTAAATTTTTATCTTTTCCCTCTATTTAAATTTACAAATTGATATTGGGATATGTACTTGTTGTATATTCATAAACTACTTTTGTAATTAATCCTATATATATTATGAGTAAGTAATAAATAATTATTTATTACTTTAAAGTATTTTAATTACAGGAGATAATATTAATTTTTACTTTTTAGTTATTATGTTTATATATTTTTATTTAAATAAAACATTAGTATATTTCCTAAATAATAAAAATATTAATAAAATGGTTCTGCTACAAATAACGCTAAATTAATATTCATATTATTTCTAATTTTTTATATGTTAAAAAATAAAATTATAAATATTTTAAATAAATAATTAAATAAGATGATAAAGTATTTTTGTCTGAAGTTTTTTTTTTTTTAAAAAAAAAAAATTAACATAAACTATATATTGAAAGAAAATATATATATATATGAAAAATGATAAATTATTATTTAAAATTGAATAATTTAAATAAATACTTATTTTTAACTACAGACATAAAAAAATAAATAAATAAAGCTTCTTTTAAAAAAATATTATCTATTAATAAATCCCCTTTATTTTAATTATTTTTTTACATTTTATAAAAAAAATGCTCTAATAAAAAAAAGATTTAAACGAAATATTAAAAATCAACCAAAAAGATCTCCCATATCGTAATCTTCTTCTTCTTCTTTTTTAGGTTCTTCCTTTTTAGGTTCTAAAAATAAAATAAAATATATTAAATTTTAAATATAAAAAAAATAAAAAAAATACCGGGTTTCTTATCTTCTTTTTTAGCTTCGTTTGGTGCTTAAACAGCAGAAGTGGAAACTGGGGTACTAGCTGCTCCTTAACCACCTGTAGCAATGGCTTATTCAATAATGGTATTATTAAGATTGCTTGCATATAATTTAGCATAGAATTTTTCGAAGTCTTTAACGCCGGCAGCATTGACTAAATCTAATATTTTTTATCCGTTTATATTTAATCCTTCATCGTGGAGGATAAGTGCAGCATATGTGGCAGCTAAATGAGATTTAGTTGTTTTGTCTAAATTTTTTAAAGGAACTGATGACATTTTTTGTTTATTTGAAATTTTGATTTTCTTAAATTTTTGTTTTTTTTTTTATCAAAAAAAATAAAAAAATATAAATATTTTTGTATATATTTAATATTAATATTTTAATTTTTGAAAATTTTTTTTAGCTTTCTTTTTTTTTATTCTTTTTTTTTAATTTATAATTAAATACATAACTATATAAAATTTAAGTTATTAATAAATTAAATATTTTATTAGATTTATAAAGTCTAACTTAATTTATTATAAAAAAAATAAAATTTATTTTATAAATTAATATTTAACTTAAATATATAATTTTTATAAAAATAAGTGATATTAATTATTATATAGTTTAAAATAGATAAGTTAAATTATAACTAATAAAATATTAAAGTAATGCACTTAAAATATGATTTAAAAATTTAATATATATAAGTTCAAAATTTTATATTTGAATAAAGTTTTATAAATATAAGAAAGTAATTATTATTGAATTAATAACAAATTATTTAATATATATATTCAAAATAAATTAAATATGTAATAATTTAAAAAAAAATATAATTATATTTTAGATTTAAAATAAAATATGAAATATAAATATATATATATATATATATATATATATATATATATTTTATCTATATAAATATTTAAATACTATATATATTTATCTGTATTTAAATTATTTTTTATACATTTTATATATAGCATATTATCTTTTTATTTTTTTACTTAATAAATTTTTTTTTATTTTTTTATATTATTTTTATAATTTATTTGTAATATTTTTTTTTTTTCTATATTTTTTTTTTTTTTTAAATTATTTTATTTAATATTTTTAAAGTCTTGTAATTAATGCTATTATATTTTTATTTTTCTTTTCATTTTACTTTATAATATTTTTTTTTTTAATATTTTTTCATATGATTGTTTTTTTATTTTTAATCTCTTAATATAAATAATAAATATTAAATTTTAATAGTTTTTTTTATTTTTATAAATAAAGTGTACTTTATCATTTATTTATTTTATTCAAAAAAAATAATATAAAAATATATATATTTTACAAGTTTTTTAATAAATATAACTTATGCAGTTTTTTATGTATATCAATATTTATACAATAATATATTTTTTCATTAAAAAAGAAAATCATTTTTTTGTGCAATATTTGATAACAAATTAATATATTTTTTAATTATTAAATTAATTTTATTTTATATTTTTATATAATATTAATTACTTTTATAATTTTAAATATAATGAATTTCATAAATTTGTAATTCTTTATTTTTTATTAATTATTTATATTAATAATTTAAAATAAGTTTATATATATAGTTTTTTTATATTTTTTTAATAAATAATGAATAAAAATTATAATTATAGATTGACAATCATATAAACTAAAATTAAAGTTATATATATTAATATAATTTTTAAAAATTAACGATTTATTTATTCAAAGTTTATAATAGCTAGGTAAATATGCTTTTTTAAATCTTATACTTTAAATCATATTTAAATGTAATTTTATTTAAAGTTAGAAAAATTAAGAAAATTTGAAGTTTTTAATGATTTATATCTTTTTACTATTTTTACAAGATTTTTTTTTATTATAATACTTTTTTATCTATTATAATAGATTTTTTTAATATATCTTTTATTAAGTATTTTTTAAAAGATTTTTATATAATTTTTCTAATTTTTATTATTTTAATTTTATATATTAAATTTGTTATTTTGGCATGTATAAATAGATAATGTATATAAATTTTATATATTAGAAATTATTAATAAAGAATTATAAAAATATATAAAAAAAAAAATAAAGTTTTTAATTATTAATAATAAAAGATAAGGGATATCTTAGATTTTTTATTAATTATAAGTATTTTTAATTTTAAATTGTTTATATATTTTTTTTAATAATTTTATCTTTTTAATTTAATTAAAATTAACTTTTTTATTTATGTAAATCAGAAAGCAAATATTTTATATGCAAATAAAAATGAAAATATATTATATAAAAATATACATATGTATTTATATTTAAAATAAAATTCTTAAATAATAGGTATTTTAACAAAAAGAAGAAACAAAAAATATTTAAAATCTATGATAAAAAGTTAAAAAATGTATATAAAATCATAAGATTAATAAAAAATCAATAAAAACTAATAAAGAAAATATTTTATTTTTATTTTTCATAAAATAAATAAATCATTTATTTATTTTATTATTTTTTTATAAACTTTTTTACTTTTTTTTATAAGTAACTTTATCATTTTATTTAACTTATTCATTATTATAACTATTTCTACATCCACTACTATCTAAACTAGAAGAAATAAATAAAGAAACACCTAATATGCCTATATTAAGTAAAGCCTAATGAGTTACTTCACAAAATCCATTAGTATTCGCAAAAGGATTTTGGATAAATACAATAGTCAATAATATCAATAAAGAAAGAAGGTATTTAGCATAAGAAACTCCTAATAAGACAAATAAACAGGATACTATTTAGATAGCAGAAATTCCTTAGACTAATTAAATTGAATTTTCTAAGACAAATGAGGGTTATATGTAAGGCAATATATGTAGTTTTACATTTTCATGCACTACTTGGGGTGCTTATTTAATTAAATTTTATAAAACAGAATTGTTTTGAAACCATACTGTGAAATTTTAGTATCTTTGATTCAATAAAAAGGCGGTTTGAGAGGGATTATATAATTTTTATACTCCGACACAAAAAAATATTATGACGAATAAAATTCTAGAAATAAATCTTAATAAATAACACATTATTTGGGTTTATTTATTTTTTAAAAGATATTATTTTATGAATAAATTTTTATATAAATTTAGATTTATATATATATGTATATGTGAATACATATAAAAGTTGTATATATTCGTGTTTTTAATAGATTATAAGTTAATTGTTTTTTTTAAAAAAACATTTATTTTATTTAAAATTATATAAATAAATATAAAGGATATATATAGAAACAATATTATTAAATCTTTTGTTTTTTTTGTTGATACAATTAAATATTTTTATAAAGTATTCAATATAAATTTTTTTAAAAGTTATGTAATTATATAATATATTAATTAAAGATAATTTTAATAAATTTAATTAGATTATTTTTAAAATGAAAATAATAATAAATAATTAAATTAAATTTATATTAAAAAAAATAAATTTAATAAGAAGGAATTAATTTATATAAAAAATTATAAACTTTTTTATTTAATAATAATAATTAAACTAGTTGTATTTAAAAAAATAATAAAATATTAATATAAATTGACATAATTATTATTGTTTTTTTATAAAATAAAAAGTAAAAACTATGAATTATAAAATTAAAATAAAATCAAATAATAAAATATAAAAAAAGAAAATTATGAAATTATATAAAAATAAATTATATTTTTTTCAAGTTCAATGAATAAAATTATAATTATCTTAAAATTTGCAATAAAAAAATATAGAAGCAATTAGCAATTATAATTAATTTTTAAAATTAAAAAGGGAAAAAAATAAAAATAAATATTAAAAATTATATTTATATATTAAAATAAAAATATTAATATTAATTTTAACAAATTTAAATTTACTTTTATTTTTAATAAATAATATATTTAATATATTATTATAATTACATAAATCTATATTTATTTATTTTCTTTAAATTGAAAAGACAATTTAAGTTTATATTAATATTTTAAATTAAATTATTATAATATTAATAATATATACATATTTTATATTTTTATATATTATTATAAAAAAAATAATACTAAAAAAAATAAAAAATATATATAAATTATTAATTTAATTTTTAAAATTAAATAAAAAATTTATATTTTATTATAATTATATTAATAAAAAAATATTTATATCTTTAAAATAAAATAAATTTAAAAATATAATACATATTTATAAAAATTTAATAAAATAAAAAATATAATAAATTATGAAAAAATTATATAATATAAAAAAAGTTATTATAAAAATATATTAAATTATTATAACAAAATTTAAAAAGATATATATATTTACAAAACATATAATTATAATATTTAATAAAAATATATAAATTTATTTTTATATTATATATATATTATTTAATAATATATATATTTATATATTACTATAATTTTTTTATTTATTTTTTTATTAAATTTATCTATTAGTTTTAAAAAGTTTATCAAATATATTTATATTGTATTAAATTTTATTAATAAAATTAATTTTATTATTTTTTTTCAAAATTTTTTATAAATTCTGTTTTTTATTTCTTCTTTTAATTCCTATTTTTAGTGAATTTCTTATTCAACTCTATCAATTAAAGCTAGCTATAGTTTATGTTTTTAAAAAAATATATATTTTAAAATAAATACATCATTAATTGTTATATTTTTATAATAGAAAGTTTTCTTTTTTTCAAATTGATATTTATTAGCAAACAAAATAAGCTAATCATTAACTCTTTTTATAGCTACATATATATTTTTATTTATAGAATAGACATATTTTATTTTAATTTATTTTTTAAATTTTTCTCTTTATTATAATAAACTTAAAATTTATTAAACAATATTGGAAAGTTATATATTTTTCAAATAATTTAATTCTAGTGTACATGTATTTTAAATATCTTAAATATTATTATTTTTTTCCGCAATTTCTTATAAGAAATACCTTCTTTATTCCCACTATATATTTTTACTTTCCCATTCAGAATATATTTGTGAGAATAATAAATTTAATTCTTGTATTTTTTCTTCTGAAACAAATTTTAATTTGGTCAAGTAATTATTTTGAATGAAATCTTATAAAAACCTTACTTCTTCTTCCAATTCTTTTTATTAAAGAAGCGCTTCATATATATTTCTTAAAATATTTTTTAGTTTTTATTATCCTTCATGTTCTTCTATAAATTATATTATTTTTTAAGATAATACTTATTATACACATATTCTTTTAGTAGTTTATG